CTTAGTGAAAATTTATTCTCAGCCTTAAAATGAAAGAACACTGGACAAATTGTATTAGGGAGAAACACCATGGAAACAGCCGAAATCGACGGGTGGAGTGATTCTTTTTTAGATCGAAATAAATTGATAAAAATGAATCGTAGGAAATTTCCAACAATTTGGTGATGAGACACTGTACGAACGAGGTACGGCCGTAAAGCACTCCCGTTCATGTCTTCTCTTCAAAATTGTAGGTAAAAATTATTTACTCAAAGTGGAAGTTTGAAAGTTAATTCCGAAATAGAATATAAGCGTTGATATTCCACAATAAGTGCTAAACTCACAAAAATACAAATGACCTCATTTGTGGATTGCATTTTGCAAAAAGGAACCACTAGCATCGCAATGATGCTAAGATTGTGCAACTTCATCTTTTGCAATAAAATTGCGGAAATCGTGAAAAACTATGAAATTTAGATGGTAATTTTTGTCTTAAATTTACAGCTTTTAGCGAGTAAAATAGAAACTATTAATGGATTTTTCCTCCAAGACAAAAGAAGTTGCACAATCTTAGCAGCATTGCAATGCTAGTGGTTCCTTTTTGCAAAATGCAATCCATGTGAGATTACGGTTCCATTTGATCAGTGTTAAAGGGTACGTGTTGATACCTCGGCGACGAGACTCTGTTTTCAAACTTCCCGTTACTTGAATCGTTTTTTCATGTAAAATGTGTTGGAAAGAAAATATGATTTCGATTGAAACATTTAGAAACAAAATTTGTACTTAAAATTATATACTTTCAAAATATATACCGTAGTATACACCGAGTAAAAAAGAGTAATAAAATTATGGCACAGACAAAAAATTGGAAAAGTACGTTGGTAGGATACAGTCAAAAGGAAGGAGTAACGTGTTTTCATGTACTAATCCTGGATGTAACTGAAGTTTTTTTCCTTGGAAAGAAAACATACATCTCACAACACTTCCAATTACACCGAATTGCATGAGAAAGGAACAAGTCATATTCGAAGAAAAAATTAATTAGGAGTAGTTTTAAGCTCGACCAGCCGCACAATTCCTCCTGTTAACAATTCAAAGTTGAAAGAAAATATTTTGAACATGAAAACTAACAATAAACTTAATCTTTGACATTAGTTTTAGTGGAGGAAGAAAACTTTAAACCTCTTTTGCTCCGTTTGATCTCGATGTGACTTAGTCCCCTTCTGATAAACGTCCAATTGGACTTTCGGGATAGCGAATCCATTGGATTACGACCCAATAGTTCAGTTGCACGCATGAGATGCGGGCAAGTGAATCCCTGCTAAAAATGATGAGTAGGCAATTTAGAATTCGCCGACTCACCTGAGTGGAATTTCCTACTTATATGAGTAGAAATCCTACTCATATCACAAGAATATTCTACTCATAAGAGTAGAAAAGTTCACTCATATGAATCCAAATTTTATTCATTTTTCAGAAGTGGTGTTTTTGACCAGGAGACACCGACATTAGATGTAAATTTGAAAAATAAGAACATTTTGTTCTTATAATTTTTTTAATGCGGTGACTAGTTTCTGAGATATCGGACACGGTAGATTCAACACAGAACTCATGTGAGTTGATATCTCTAGTCATATGAGTTGGAATCTCTAGTGTATGCCTGTTATAATTTTACTTGTAGAAAGTAGGAAAGTTTTACCTGCGTATACGTGCCTGTATCTCTTGCGTGCAACAGACTGATACACCGATTATGGTCACTCAAGTCGCTCTAGAAACTAAAGTATAGAATACAAAGAAAATAAACCCTATGGTTATCAGACCAAAGCAACACAAACAGCAGCTCATGCAGGGGCCCTGAGTAGTTTGGCTCTGCGGTCCGCTAGAAGTTCTACCAGTCCCTGTGGTCGTGGACATCAGCATACTTTCATCCATCATCCTTGTGTGATATCCCGGATCATGAATTCCGAAGTGCGGCCCGATGTATGTTGGGTCGAAAGGGTTTATCGGATCCGGGTTCGAGTGTCCTGCTGTGTCCGTGTATGTTGTATCCGGGGCCGTGTATGTTGTATCTGGGGCCGTGCATGTTGTATCCGAGGCCATGCATGTTGTATCCGAGGTCATGCCCGAATCTGAGGCCATGCATGTTGTGTCCGATGTGCCGGTGTCTGTGCAGCCGGTGTCTCCGCTGTCACCCATGTCCGTAACTTCTGAGTTCCTGGGGGTCACCGATCAGCAGAGCTGCGGTGATTGGAGGCGAGACCACGAGCCACAGCTGAAACAAACAGATCGCGATCAGTGAATGGAGATGTTGCAAGTGTGAGGAATTTGCGATTTGACTGTTGATTCTTGTGTATAAGTTCGCGAGAAACACGATAATGCCACTGGTTTTCTCTGAAATCAACTCCCAAGCTCAAAAAAAGCTCTCAAGTTGAGGCCGAAATGGAGGGGATACCCCACGCTATCCTGAGAGTCCACCTCTACACCAAGACAAACTCTCCATGCAAAGATAGGGAGCAAGTACAGGGCTGCCACTTTTTTTGGGGACTCCAAAACTGAAAACACGGCAACCCTGATATTGTACTTGCTCCCCCGAAAGTTAAGTTCCGTAAACCTATCTCTGTGTGGACAAGGCCTTCCATTCATAAGAAATGAACGAAAAAATTATGAAAGAACAAACATAAATGTGGATCAATGATTTTAACTTCCGCCGCCGCGCCGCGCAAACCGAACCGTGTTTGGCGCAGTGCGTGAAGTATTCCGACAGTCTTGTAGGCGCTATGCGTTTCCGCCGACCGATGCTGAACATACTGTGTTGGACGCAACGCGTGAAGTATTCACGCAGTCTTGTAGGCGCTATGGGTTTCACGCTGACCGCACTGTGTTTGGCGCAATGCGTGAAGTATTCATGCATTCTTGTAGGCGCTACCCGTTTCACGCTGACCGCAATGACCGCACTGTGTTTGATGCAATGCGTGAAGTGTTCGTGCTGTCTTGTAGGAATGTAGACGCTAATATGTGTTACATGCCGATCGCCGCGTTGAGGGCTTCTCCTTTTCATGTCAAGTCCTCGTTATCATTTCTCTAAGTCACGCCGTTCCAGGCCAAATTGGGTGTTTGGTCTCTCTCTTAACTCGACTTATTGAAGGTGCTGCCTCTCGTATCACTAAGAGACGACAAAATTAGAAATTACTATACTCTCAGGAAATGACAGATTTTGTCGCCTTTTCTCCTTTGTAATTTTGTTTTTATAAATCCCGATTTTTTTTTACACCTACACTTTAAAAAATTGCAAATTTTTGCCGCCCCTTAGATTTGCCGCCATGGGCCGCGGCCCATGTGGCCACCCCCTTAATCCGGCCTTGAAAATAACCCTTGCCTTCGATTACAATTTCAAGAGAAAATGCCAGATAATAATCTTGAAGAAATTTAATAAAGAACGAGTGGTGAAATATACCGACGTCGCAATCGGAGGGATGAATTTTCCCACCTCTCCATTGTTTCCTGCGCTAAACGCACCGCAAACTGTACCAAAATCAACACAAAATGTGTACCACATGTGTGTTTTAACCAAAAGTAATACAAGAATACAAATATTTTTTATCGGTGTAGCACAAATCTATTATGCACACTGGAAAAAAAACACATTGGATCTAGATTCCAGACTCTTAAAAACATCGACAAGAAAACATACTCTTGATTCAATCAGATTTAAGCTTAAATCAAGAACCAAGCCTCTTAATTTGAGCGAATTTCCTTTTGATTTAAGCTTAAATCTGATTGCATCAAGAGTCCGTTTTCTTGTCAATGTTTTCATGAGTCCAGACTCTAGATCCAATGTGTTTTTTTCCAGTGCATAGTTTATTTTGTTTCAATTCTCTTGCACATTAACTTAGCAAAACCAAGTCCAATTTTGAAAAGTTAAATCACTGCATACCACATGGAATTTTATTGACTCGGGAAGGTACAAGGTAATTTAAATTTTGAACTTTTTTTTTTTTTTTTTTTTTTTTTTTAAATCCGCTGAGTCGGTCAGTCAGTATTTTCAGTATTGGAAACACTGGGCCTCAGATAACCGGCTGAATACTCCCCGCGGCTTACGGAGGGCCCCGAAATCCCCTACAGACTCATTTTGGTCAATTTCCCGTTCATCATCAAAGCTCCATTGAGCAAAAATAACCGAGACAAATCTGCCACGAGCGATACGAAACCACTAGATCAGGTATCCATCATGCCATCCCGCGCTTTACAGCAAAAGCAGCGATGCCATGACGTGGCAATTTCTTTTGAGACCCTCAGACGTGGGAATATGATTTTGAACACACAATGTAGAGATTGACTCTTCTATACAAACACAGTTCATCAAATAGGGCAAATGAATATTAGCCGCCAAGTATCCCCTTTTGTGGGATAGAAATTTTCTAAAAGACTAGATAATTTTGATTCTGAATTTCATTCGAAATTGAACCAAGTGCATTTAAAAAGTTATGGAGAAAACATTCAAACTTTTCCTTAGGGGTAGGTATATGAAAACTTGGCAACATTCGAATATGCATGAGATTTTCTTCCTAGGTTTGGCAGATTAATTTAAATAAATTTACACTGTTTCCTCATAGTTTCATATTAAATTCATACTTTTTAAAGCAGAAGCTAACAAAAATCTCGCTGGTGATGAACAGTGGAAACAATCTTAACGATTCGTTTCAAATCGGTGCAGAACTGAAAAAGTGAAATGTTTGAAAATGACATTTATTTGTATTCAGAAAAAAATGGCATCATCTGTAAAAAGTTATACTTTTCCTCTTAATTTAAAAAAAAAAAAATTTCAAATAGATGTTACGAAAAACGCGTGATTAGCGTGAAAAAAGTTTCATAAGAAGTTAATAAGGTATTCAAATATGCTATTTTATAAGATTTTGGAGCGTGAAAATTGAATAAGGGGAAAAACGTAGCTAAATACTTGAACGCAATTGACATGAGAAGAGAGGAATACCAATCACTTAGAAAATAATGAAAGAACAGTACACTCGAGAATATTTTAAGTATATTTCTATTATCAGTTTTTAGCGAGGTATTGTACATAAAAACTTGTATATGCCTTTGTTCACTTCAATTCCATCAAAAGCAAGGAATCGATTCAAATAAATTATATAATACAACTATTTACAATTTACAGGAAAAAAGATTATCGTTTTCCCCAGCCCCAACCGCCGTATCCACCATTTCCTCCATATCCGCCATGTCCCCCGTATCCGCCATGTCCACCCCCGTATCCACCATGTCCACCACCGTATCCGCCATGTCCCCCGTATCCACCATGGTGCCCATGTCCGCCATAATGTCCACCATGTCCACCGTAATGTCCGTGTCCGCCGTAGTGTCCGTGACCTCCGTAATGTCCGTGACCACCGTAGTGTCCATGTTCGTAGCTTCCGGATTCTTCGGAACTATCGCTCCGGACGATAGCCACGAGGGCTATCACGAAAACAGCCAAGATCCATAGCTGAAAGAATAAAGACAAGATTCAACTAAATGCCAACGCGATAAATATTACCTAGGTATTGCCGATACTGTGAATCATTTGGACTGCATTTTGCGATTTGGAACTATAAATTCTGGCTCATCTGGAAAAACACTTATGTGCATAGAGAAAATAATGGCACATACGTTGTTTTTAAACCGGGCTAGAATTTATAGTTCCAAATTGCAAAATGTAGTCCATTTGATGTTAAACTTAACATGTTCAAAAATCTCGCATCATACAAGACAGAAAACTTAACGAACTTAATGACTTCTGAACGGAGTATCAGATGAACGTTGGGAAGGTCACTTGGACGTATTTATGCCAATAGAAACACTGCCGCGCTAAAGAAAAACGCCGTATGAGCCCTCAGACGTTGCCAAATTTCCTCCAGTAAAAACCGAATTTACTGAGAAAATGGTGATTTTTTGTTTCCAAAATTTTCACGCAATGGACCACTAGACAAGGTACGAATTAAAGGATTCTGATACATGTTTCTTAACCAACATTTCACGCAGAACACAATTCGCGCAACGGAAATGACTGAAACCAACTCTTAACGAAGATATTAACGTTTTTATTTCACATTGGTTACGAGGAATTTGAACTGCCCGCTCACAAGAAACTCAAAGCTCTACGTGAGTCAAATCGCGCACTACAACGGTCTCAGCAAGCTTTTCAATCGAGCAATGTTCATTTCCCACCATGTGCTGTTCAAACTATAAGCAATTTGCCACAGCTGAGACAAAGCGTCAAGATTGAGGTTGCCAGATTTTTATATCGTAGAGACAGTCATGATAACGTTTAGCGCGCGATGTGAATCACGTAGAGCATTGAGTTTTCATGAGCGGGTGGTTTGAATTCACGCATCAAGAATTATTTAATATCTTCGTAAGGAGTTGATTTCGGTAATTTTCGTTGTATGCATCGTATTCTACGTGAAATTTTGGTTAGGAAACGTGTATCAGAATGCTGAAATATGTACCTTGTCTAGTGGTCCATTTTGTACGCAATTTAATCTAAAATATCTGAAAGTTTAAAGTAATTTAGTAGTAATTTAGTGCTAAGTAAGTAAGTTTGAAGTATGTATGCATAACTTTCCTAAAAAAATGAAGGTTTTATTCGGGGTAATTTGGCAACTCTCGAATGTTCATACGGCGTTCTTCCTTAGCACGGCAGAACAAGAGACGGGTGGGAAAGATGGGATGTGCTCGTAAAATCTGCACAAGACATAATGCAAAAGTGGGCGCGATTCCTTTCGGCAAAATGAAAAAAATGGGATTTTGCATTAAATCGAAAGGGACTAACCGCCATGATATACTAACTCATGAACCGTGGGCAAATGACAAGAGCGTTGTGAATACGGCTCATGAGTTAAATGACGTCAAGATCGATCTCGTCCTCGGCGTTGACGCTGACGTCACTGGCGCCTTATAATTCCAATTCATTCTTGCGACCCTCAACTAACGAGCATACATCTTCGTTTTCACCCGTCTCTGGTTCCTTTTAGCATATATACGTCCATTTCACAAAACCTTTCTTAAAGCTTCAATTCTTTTTCGTATGAATTTTAAAACATTAGTTCCATCATACAAGGACATTTTTTTTGTTAAAAACTGCGAGGAACTACAGTTTCTCAAGCTACCAGTAGTTTAGAGTTAATTAAGCAGAACTAGGCGTTTCAAATGCTAAGCTTCAAACGGATTGCCACCTACTGCTCGTTGAAAATTTCCTCTTTTGTAATTATGAAGAATTAAGAATTTAGTAATTAATGATTAGTAATTAAGAATTTGTAATTAAGGATTTTATAGTGAAGAAGAAGAAATTCATTATTGAAAACGAATAATGCAAGAAACCTATTTTTTATCTATTAAGTTTCAAAACATCATAAGCAATCATCAGCTTTGCAAACCACCACATATTTTCCCCGAGTCCGAAAAATATTAGATTAAAACGTGTACCTAAGACATTGTGCTAACCTTAAAGGTAAATGATTTGTAAGTGAAAAACCTTGTTGTCCACACCTGCGATGGCGCAATATCCGTATATTAACCACGGAGAGAAATTTCAACACAAAAGTTTGGTTCATACGGGAAGTAAAACACAAAATAACCATAGCCTTCGGTTGACAATTTCAAGAAAGAATGCCAGCTTGCTTTCTTGAAGAAGTTTAACAAAAAACGAGTGATGAATAAGAACGCTGCAATCGGAGGAATGCATTTTCCCAGTCTCTTCATTGTTTTCTGCGCTAAATTCACCGCAAAATTTACCAAAATCAGCACAAAATTTGTGTTAGTTTTTGTTTCACTTCCTATATCAATCAGAAGTAACACAGGAACACAAACTATTTTCATCAGTGTAGTGGCCTGGTTACACGCTCAAATTTCTGTCATAAATTCCTATCAAAATGATGACCAAGATGGCGGTCGAGAGTTATCTAGATTAATGAGTAAAAATAATTAAAACAGGGTGTTAATTGAAATAAGCACGGTTGTGTGGAAATCAGCGACGGATGAGCCCCACAGTTCCATCATCTACCATCAAATTTTTGCAGGCCGCAGAAATTTGATGGTAGATGGTGCGCACCGGTCACCATTTGATCGGAAATTGATGGGAATTTGAGCGTGTAACCAGCACATAGCGTTCATCGTGAGGGAACTGAATACTCTAGAATTCATCACACATCTGAATTTGAATCATAGGATTTCAAACTTTTGTGCTGAGAGGTGTGCAAATCCGATTTTTTTTTCGAGAATTTTGGGTGTATTTTTATCATATTTTGTTCATAGAGCACGGTTTCATGTTCCGGTATTAATTAATGCGTTTTGACTTTTATGTGGACTAAGGTCTCCGCTACTTTGGACGGGCGCCTATGTATAAATGAATACAACAGCGGCCTCGCAATACAGTGAAACGCATTTCTCCTTAATAACTTGAATAATGACATTTAGGACGAAATTTTACAAAAATCGCTTTTCTAAAATATTTTGCAATAGAGATGAAGATGCTTCCGTCCGAAAAGCATCGCAGCATATCTCAAGCTGAAGACAAAAATATATAAAAATCCCGAAGATAGATTTTCGAAGTTCTCAAAAAGAAACAGAGGCTATATTGACTTACCTTAGAACTCATCGTGCAGGGTGTGGGAATTGAACTTGATGCCACGAAAGATGAGGAACGATTGAAGTTACACTGCATTCAAAATGATCGAATCAGCAGCGACCTTGACGTTAAGGAAATTCCGAACAGAGAAGAGTGGCTTAATTCAGCGCCAGCGTGCAAATTGAAACGATAATCTCGATTAATTCATTTTAATCCGGAGGCTAATGTTAGAATTTCGGACACAATTTCCTGCAGCGCGGACGGAGGGAAGGATGAGGAAGGGACAGCTCAAAACAGGGCAGGTTCAACCGTTCAAAAACAATATGTTTTGGACAATTTGTTTCGAAAACATCTTCATCGCGTGTTGGTCAAAATACGTTGTTGAATCTGGCAGCAGTCTGATTGAATTATCGAGGCGTTGAATCCACGGGAATTCCCATCGTGTAATAATACACCTCGGAGAACATAAGTGAATCGAGGAAATTCGTGTTTCAGGAGGTGTTTTTTGTGCAATTAACAGAGGTGATTGGTCGCGACGTCTCAACCGACGTGCGGTGAATAAGAAGGAAAAACCCTCATCAATCTTTGAGTGTTTTTTTAGTGCCTCTTGAACCAAATGTTTGGTGCGAATACGTTTCAATTGATGATAATTACCAATTTACGACTTGGATGTAAATACTTAAAACAGCTTTGAGACGGTGTGTTTATTGGATGGTATTTTGCACAACGAAGGATGCCAAATGAAATATTTTCTATGAGATCCTAAACTGGGTCCATCCCTGGTAGATAGTTTGATGGTCTCAGGCAATGGTCACTTTGGTCGGCTCCAGGGTAATAAGCGTGCACTGGGAAAAAAAAAAAAATTAAAAACCCATATTGGATCTAGAGTCCAGAGTCTTAAAAACATCGACAAGAAAAATTACTCTTGATTCAATCGGATTTTTGCTTAAATCAAAAGGAAAGCCGCTTAAATTAAGAGGCTTGGTTCTTGATTTAAGCAAAAATCCGATTGAATCAAGTGTATTTTTTCTTGTCTATGTTTTTAAGAGTCTGGACTCTAGATCCAATGTGTTTTTTTCCAGTACGGGATTAGCCCTGTGGGCTTTTTAAGAATTGGAGGGGGCATAGTTTCGAAGACGCCCGATGAAATCGGGAATTAATGGTGAAGAACAAGGAATAAGGAGCTATTTACCGGAGGAGCTCTGGTGAGATCGCTCCGAACGGCAGTTGAACGTATTTCCCTCAAACGGAACTATGTGCATTAAGACATGAGCCCTGAGACCCATGGGAATATATGCATCACAGAGCTCACGTCATAATGCACATAGTTCCGTTTGACAGAAATACGTCCAGATGGGTGTTGCAAAGCGCGCGGAAGCGACGATGACATATCGACGGCGAAACTTCCAAACCGCACGCATCTCGGTTTGTGACGTTGCAGACTTCCTGTCATTTTCTATTTGTTAAATAGAAAACTATTCAAATAGGCAGAGAGTATATAGAAGGTATACTCTATACCTTGTATACTCTCTGCAAATAAGTCTATGCTTAAAATCTTCCGCGATTTTCCTCAACTGGCGAGGAAAATTCTGTGAAAACTTCTGGGACTGATGCTGATTTGATCTCCTTCAGAAGAATAAAACGGGAACGGAGATTTTAAAACACCGCAAACGAGATACGTCATTTGTGAGTTCCACCGTCAATATGCACGTGACATTTTAATGATGCCAAATGTGTGCCATTTGTAAAGAGAAAATCAATGTGCTTAAATAGCCATGGCTGGTAAAATATGAATTCCATCGTTGTAGGCTGCCTAGATAAGGAAAACGTGTTCGCCTTCAATTTTTTGGGTATGCAATTCAGACATCCGTCGAGCACGAATAGTTGCATCCAGACGTTCGACTGTCTCACGTTGCTACGTGATACAGTGTTACCGTTTGGAATGCAAGCTCGCTTTCAATTTTTCGGACGCAATACGGACATCCATCAAGTACGAATAGTTGTGTTCAGCGTTCGGTTGCCTTCCTTCGCTGTTTTGTGGGGACTTCGGCCGTAAGGAAAGAGAATTTCTGTGTGATGTGAACTCTTGCAGTTTGAAATGCAAGTTTGTCCTTCATTTTTGGGTGCGTGATACGGACATCCGTCAAATATGACAAAAAATGTCGTGTCGGAAAAATAGGAATTCGTGCATGTCAAACCTTCAGAAGTTTTCATGTTTCATTTTTTGTAAAAATTGTCAGGAATCTTTCCTACAGTTTTTGATGCGCATAGTGAATGATTCCTTACATTTTTTTTTTAGAGATTTAAGAAAATTATCGCTACCAAAAAAATTACCAGTCCATTACCATTAAATTTCCTCGAGACAGAGTAAATAATTGGAAATTCTGCATCTGCGTGTCGGAGACTCTTTTCTTTGGTAGACTGAGTGCAGTAACTTTTTGATTTGAATTTCGAGTGGCTGAAAAATATTGGAATGTTCGGGGGGATAAAGGCTAATTTTGAGTGAATTGAAAATCACGGTCTGGTTAAATACATCGAAAAGACGCACGCCTTTTAACCGATCAATTAGTTCCTCATTTTCCTATCGGAGAAGGACCTCGGATGTATCGACATTTGAAAAGCTGCGGGTAAGTTTTTCTTTTTTTGAACCAATTGAAATTTACTCATGAAAACCGTACCGAGAGTCTAGACATATATTTTCGGAAAAAAGTTATCAGAACTAGATCTGACCACGAAAAAAAAATGTCTGCACGACGATAGACACTTCAAATTTTAAGAGTCTGGTAATTTTAGCGAACCAAAATAATTTAAATATGTACACAAGCCATTGTCCTGTAATGGACAATGTTATTAGAAATGGTTAGACAGTGTACTTAAAGTACATCGTTGATGACGTTATAAATCGGGTTCTCTCACACGGCAGCGTGGCCGAGTGGTCTAAGGCGCTGGTTTTAGGCACCAGTCCGCAAGGGCGTGGGTTCGAATCCCACCGCTGTCAGGTTAATTTTAGACGGGCTAGCAACGAAAACTACACCAAAAGCGGATAGATTGGAGTCCCACCAATACTGATACGGGAATATTACTTTTTTAAGACAGATGAAAAATAGAATGATACTGACGTTCCTTGAAAATACCGGTGATAATAACACATCAACAAAGCAAACACTTGTTCGGACTGCATACGGATTGTTTTTCAACCTAGAGAAAATTTAATGGGAAAATTACAAGCATTAAAGTTAGAATGCTCCATGCTAAAAATTTAGGAGCAGGGTGATAGAGGGAAGCTGGGTCCGCAACACCAACTAAAGTGTTGGTCCATGCCATTCTGAGAGCCAATCAACGACAAAGATAACACTGATTAGAACTAGAGTCACAAAATGAACTCTTCTGATATCCACCGTCATATTACTTACAGTGTCCAGGCCATATTTTTAGTCGAGGGAGAAAAATATTAATTAAGTGCGCGAGGGCGGACAGTTTGAAAACTTCAAAATCTAGATACGTGTTTCTATCTTTATCGTTCTTATTATTCTACCACCAATAGATCGTATTCGATAGTGTTCGATGTATCGCTCGGTTCAAAACAATAGAACATAACATTGCCTCAACAAAAATTTTAGGATTTAAGCAGGAAAAGCTGAAAATGAGAAAATTCTTAACAAATTTACAATGCATTTCCATTTTATACTCATAAGAATCAAAAACCTATCACAAGAAACCCGTTCCCTCAGATTACTCAATTGACTTTTGAGCCTGTGTTCACATGTTGAACCAATCGATATCGATACAATCTCACCTGTTTGATGTATCGAATACAATCCATTTTCGGGCGCTTGGATCGGCGACTCTGCCTCGCTCTGATTGGAGGGCCAGTGGCGTAGCGTGCTTTGCGATATACCGATAGATCTACCATTTAAACCTATGGAAAGATATCAATTATTCGGGTGTTCGGAGCGAACGCCCGAATAATCGATTAAACCAAGAAGCATGCAATCTTTAATTTTACCTCATTTGTACATCGATCTTTTAGAGTCAAATACGTCAAATTTTGAGCGTTTGGTTGCGCGTACACCTCGCTGCAGCACAATAAAAGCACAAAATGTAAAAGAAAAAATTAAAGTGCTTTTGAAATCATTAAATTTGACACGAAACCACCAATATGTATAAAACACACATTGTATTATTATTCTCCTTTGATAAATTGATACATATATTTTTCTCATTAATTTAAATGAGAATCATTAATGCAGAGTGTGCAAACATTTCCAAATCATGGGTTAAAAAACGCTGACTTTGCGAGTATAAATATTAAGACTTAACAGAGCGGAGCGGCGCGGCGGCGTGCTGCCAGCGCGAGAGGCTCACTGGCGCCTACAAACCTAAGTGGAAACTTCACGCATTGCACAATGCTTGAAGTATCCACTTAGGTTTGTAGGCGCTAAGGCGCGTTACTTGCTGGCCGCCCGCCCGCCGCGCCGTGCGGCGGCGCCTGAAGCAACTATTTCACAACAGAGGTGTTGCACAGTATTATACGAAATGATCATCCTTCAAACGTACAGATTTTTCTTCGCAAAATAAATCAAGATACTTATCGTACACAGGAAAAATCTAAGAGTCTTTAGTTGAGGCAAATATAGAGGTTTATCCGGCTTAGGTATAACAAGGTGGAAATTTCTTGAAAGATAATTAAGTCCTGTTACACCAAAAAGATGTATAGAGAGTTTTAGTAAATTTTGTCCCATGGAATTGACGCTCCCCCATTTTTACCAAAACTCTTAACTATATATTATTCTCCGTTGGACCAAACAGACAAAACAAAAAACAAGCTAACCCTCATTCTTCCAAGACATTATACACTTTAAACGTCGTGAGCAATTGTCGTTTGTATTTACATGTGGGCTAATTAACTTTGGGTCTCAACTGGCACGTGGACCAAAACTCCCGTGCCGAAAAAACGCGTGGACGTAAATTACTGGAAAAAACTGGTGCGCGGACAAAAAATCGTTGACGAAATGTCCTATAACCTCTTTACCACAGCTCAAATGAGGAAATATCGATAATGGATCATTCACGCCTCGCCACTGTGGAGGGCATTGCCCATTAGAGGAGTTTTGTTTGTCTGCAACTATACGGATGAATAATATTA